ATGTAGAGTAGAATTTGCATCACGAGTAGGATTTTCTTTCATATTTTCGTTGGTCGTTCGGAATCCTACTTCATCTTGTTTTTTTAATTTTTTATGTTCTTGTTTGTGTTGATTTTTTTATAATATTTCGTATTTTCGTTGGTCGTTCGGAATCCTGCTTCATCTTGTTTTTTTTTTAATTTTTTATGTTCTTGATTGTGTTGATTTTTAAAATAATATTTATAGTATTTCTTTAGTTGCAATTGTGATACTTGTTGATTTTACACAAACAATAATTTTCTTTATTATTATTATCACTGTATTCATAGCACTGCAACGACGACGTCAGGACACTGTAAATCAAAGAACAACACCACCTTAAATCAGACATTTTCTTATTGTAGATCACGTGATATATTTATTTTTATATCTATTGAGATGCTCTGCTATCGTAGTCTACTGTGGCTATCATGGAAAGATCATTGCCTCCTCATATTATCATCCCATGGTGCTATTACTACTATTATTAGTCTAAGAATAGACATGCTGAAGGAATATCAACTATACTGATGACAAGTGAAACTAATACTAGTCTTGACACAAGTCCTTGTTCAAGAATCTGTGAGCTAAGAGTGTCCATCTTCCCTGCTATTCCTGTTCTTCCAGGCTGTTGTCAAGTTCATAATTATCATTGCATATCATAAGTCATAACATTAATTAATTGTTTGTTTTTAAAATAAAATAAAATAACACTTGATAAAACAGTAACATGTAAAATCAATACCTTCTTTTAGCTGGAAACCTCCACTATAGTATTGCAGTAAGTTGATTCCAAGCATAGCTTGGTAAAAAATAATCCAGAGCTTCAGATCTGCATCTATCTGAGCATGCGCGACCACACCCAAATTTTGGAGCACATGGCAAGCTTCTTTAATTAACAAAATGGCGGCTTGCAGCTAAGATGGCTCGATCCAGCAGTCACAGTATCACTTTTTCCTTACTTGAAGAATGATCTGATGGGACATGGACCTGCGCATAGACTGTTGGAGTAGATTGGTGTAAGAATTATCCTTGTAGCACCAACTGATACTGAGATACACACCGACAACTGGATTGACAGGACTTGATGATGATGAAGATGATGATGAAGATGAAAAAAGGTGGCTGAACAAAACGGCCGGTTCGCCGATTTTTGGCTTTTCGCTTAGACAAGGTCTAGAGCCACGCTAGTTGTACCATTGGAGTCCTCTGGTCAAGATAAGGTCCTCTATAAAGTCTGGTAAGCATAGGAGCTCGTTTTCCCAGTATAGCAAGGCTGCAAAAGTCGTGGCAGCCATTTTGTTTGGGGGTGAATCCTACTTAGTAACGCTACCGCGTTACTAATACCTTACAATGGTCTATAATTCTTATCATTAAGTTTAATATAACAGGTAGATCTATACCTTTTCTAAATTTTCTAGCATATTCATTCCATATAAAAAAGACATACAAACTATTTTATAATTATAATTATTTAAGACTATTGCCACACCTCTCATTAATTAATTGTGATCTGTTTTAGCTCCTCCATTTGTCTCTGGAAGAGGTGTTGTATTAATTATATTGTTAAAAATTTTCATGTAGATTTTGAAATTTTGATATGAATGATCATTCAGTGGATTATCCAACCCAAAGCTAGTAATATTTATTGTATTCAATATTGAGGAGAAATGCAGTAAGGCCGGTCCCAATGATAAAAGTAATTATCAGTTTATAAAGTGTACAGTCTCATGTGCATTACAGTGTGACTGGTGTATGTATATTCAGCCACCAATGTGGGTTGATCTCCCATAAATATTAGAAGGTTGATTGACTATACTCGACAATTATAATGACAGTAAAATTGACAAAATTCTTTTTGTTATAACAAATTTGGTAGAAGTCTCATAAAAGAAATATTTACAGAAAGACTAGAAAGGCATGTGTGCAGAAAAAAAATAAACAATAATAACTAGATGAATGTAAAACATTAAGTCATCACTTATGGATATTCAAAGGGCCAATGTAATTATACTAGGATGTGTCCATGCTGAATAGTATTTGCTTCACCTGCTGACATTCATAAGGAGAGTGTCACAAATAAGAGCTCCATTATCTCCTATTGAAGGAACTTGAAGCAGGTACAATA